AGAATACATAGTTGGGATACCAAATTCAGACATAACAGCTTCTCCAATACATGGGTTCAGATCACAGAGAATGGCTGGTTCTAGGCAATAGAATGCAGAGGCTGGCCAGTCCGATCCTGGGTGAATCATTTAACTCTTCTAAGTCTCAGTTTTTCCTCACTTGGAAATGGGGAAAATAATTGTATAATGGCATAACAATAGAAGCAGATTTGTCAATTTACTTCAGAGAATACGGTAAGGACAAAATTAAAGAATGGGTGTAAGGCACTGAGTATGCACAGAGCTTGGCACATGGAAAGCGCTAAGGACATCCTGGCTGCTATTCTACTTCTTAGGCTGCCCAGGTTTCCTGATCAGGATGGTCTTGGCTGGTCTGACCAAGCTTGTCCTGGGTTTCTTCCAGGTATCTATGCCTGGTGCTAATGCTGAAGATAATACATGCATATTTCTCTTCAGCTAATCTTCTTCCACTCCCAAAACTCTAACTGCCCATTCTACTCCAGCTTCAGGAATCAAATTTCCAAATAGGCAATAATCATTAGAACAAAACAAAACCAGATGGAAATCTAATGGTCTCCAATTACCTTCCACAGATCCTCACCCCAAACTACTGAGGGTGAGCATTTGCGAATTCTCTTTAACCCTAAGTGACTATACTTTTCTTCATGGCAACTCCCTGTCCCCGCTCTTAAATGATGACTGGTGTGCTTCTTACCGACCCAAAAGCTCTGAGTCACACAGAAGCATAGTTACAAGAATACTTCAAACACGTATGGCACTCTATGCTTTCCCAAGTACCTTTTCATTTAATCTCTCACCAGCATCCCAGGGAAGAAGGTATGAGTATTGTTGTCCTCATTTTATGAAGAAGAAAAATGAGATAGCTCAAGGAGGTTAAACAACTTGCCAAAGTCACAGAGCCAGATCCGAAAACACATAGATGATTTCTTTTTTAACATGGACGATTTTTAATCTAAGGATTCGTCTATTTACAACTGTGTCTAACTAAATACACATAAAGCAGACAAGATGCCTATTAGTCTTTCAACCAAATTAACAATTTAAAAATCTCATAACTTGATGTTTTTCTGCCCGTCCACCTCTTTTATTTTTAATTAACAAGACTTTGTGATTCTGAGGTGTTGCTTTAAAATATCTCTCGTTCCAAAAATGATTAATGCTTTTAACTCACAAGCCCTTATGGGCATCAGAAGGGAGGCGGTAGGAAGCATGGCTGCTCTTGTCTTCGTAAGTTCAAAAGGCCATTGATTACTGAGAGCCCAAGCCACAAGAAAGCTGTGAAACAGGAACAGACAGGAGAGATATCACCTCTTGATTGCTATCTTGAAAATTACCTCCCAGGCCATGTAAACACAGGAAGACAGGAGTGAAACTCGTCTCCTGAATGATGAGATGGCAGAGAGATGGAACTAGTACGTCTACATGTTTGAAACTGGATGTTCCTGCTGACACATTTAAATATCCCCGTGACAAGCTCCAATGAGTTGGGCTGGTCATCAAACTTGCATACCATCACAGTGGAGACTCAAATCCAATCTATTAAATACGGATGGCACATCTTTTAATTCACAATATGTTTCTTAGATAAGTCAGAAGTGTTTTACTGAACATTAAAGCTATTAAACTCCTTCACTAATTTCCAGGTCAGGTCAGTATAAAAGTTTTTGAAATTATTATAATGCTGCAAATACATGGACCTGTGCCTATACTTTTAAGACAAAAGCAGTGATCACTGATTCCAAATATGATTAACTTAAAAGTTCTTAAAATGTTATAGGTCATCTGAAAGGATTAATAGATAAATAAGAGATTTGTCAAAGATAGTCTTGTGAGGGGATGACCAAGCAAGAGATTGTACCAACAGCTGTGTGACACATTTTGTGTTCATGAATACGGTAAGGCAAACTCTAAGACTTGAATATATCTACTATTTCACGAGACATCAAACTGATGGAATAAACAAACAAACAAACAAAGTATTTTAGTCACAAGTCAAACAGCTCTAAGATCACAGAGTATAAAGATATATTTTCTGGTAGTAATGTGGCCATATCAAAGGATCAAAATTAAAATAGGTCATGAAAATAGAGTTGTGAAGAACTGTACTAGGAATATGTGGTAAGCATATGATATTAAGGTTATAAGAAAGAGCTTGTGTCTGAAAACAAGGACATGCATCAACAGCATTGAAAATCCAATTTGAGAGTCACTATTATTTTAATAAATGTGATTAGGATACCAAATTACTTCCTTGTGAGACCATTAGCTGATAATTACATCTAAATATGGCGGAAGCTTCTATAAACTCAGGAGTTCTTTACTTGGAATCCATCATGCTCTGGGCTTCTAGGTTTCTGTGAGCCCTTTGGAATTCCAAGTAAAAATTTCAGTGTATGAGTATAAATGTATTTTTCCAGAAGAGGTATCCGCAGCTTAAATCAGATTTTTATAGGTTCCTGAGAGCCTCCAAAGTTAAAATCCACTGTTCTAAAAGCAGGCCACTGTATAAGAACATAACTAGAAGTTAAAGAACCTAAGTAATGTCCCATATGTATGAAATTAAGAAAAGACTTTCACTTTCCTAAATTAGGATAATTTAGATATATCCTAATTAAATAAATCATTAGCTATAGAATGGACATCGGTGGAAAATAAGCATTTCAGGAATCTGACTTTTGTGAAAATAGATTCTAAAAGTATCTAAGAAAGAAAATTTAGGTTATTCTGAAAGATTTAATTTCCTAAGATTAAACAGAGGATAGAAATGGTTATATTAGTATGTCAGCACTTATTTATTTATCTGAACAGATTCATACCCTATTCCCCTGTTTTTTTGTTTTTAAATAAAACATGGAAGCACCAGCATGTAGTATTTTAGAAATGAGTAGCTACATTTTTGGTTCTTGCAATAAGTAGGAGCTCTTCTGGGGGTTACTGCACGTTAGGACCACAAAAATTGTCCCCTACTCTGCACGTTTTATATTTCTTGCTGGAATTCAAATAAATGAAAAATCTACAATGAAGAACCTAGAAACTAACTCCCTTGCACATATTTTTGCAAAGTCCTTTTTATATAATTTTAATTTCCAAGGCACTAACTACTGGGACCAACTCTGTAAATCCAAGTAAGATTTCTTTTTCATTTGGAATTTTCCTAAGAGGTGTTCGCCGTTTAGGGAAATCATGTCACCTTTGGTGCTACGGACTGAATGTTTGTTCCCTCCCCAAATCAGGATGTTGAAACCTAACTCTCAATGCGATGACAGTAGGTGGGGCCCTGGGAGGTGAGCAGCTCATGAAGGTGGACTAGTGTCATGCCCTGGACTATCGTCTTTATAAAGGAGGCCCACGGAGATCCCTCACCCTTTCCACCAGGTGAGGACACAGTAAGAAGGCACCGTCCATAAACCAGATGGCAGGTCTTCACCAAACATCTTGATGTTGGGACTTTGCAGCCTCCAGAAGTATGAAAAATTTCTCTTATTTATAAACTACCTGGTCTATGGTGTTGTTATAGCCACGTGAACTAAGACAATGGCAATACCATTTTTCGACTCCAGCTGAGAAACCACTTATGTCAATCTGCAGTTTCTGCTGTTGGATTCAGGGTTATTCACATAGCGCACATCCATGAATACCTCATTATGTCTTAGTGCGTAGCCATGCTAAGGCATTGCCATTTAAAAAAAAATCTTTCTTTTAATGAGGAACTTAATTACATCAATTATAAAAATCCTCTGTATGAAGAAAGGCCGTTAGAGACAAACTAGTAAAATCCAAATAAAGTGTGGAGTTTAGTTAAGTGTACTGTATCAATGTTGGCTTCCTGGTTGTTTCACAGGTACTACATAGTAAGGTGAGATGTTAACATTAGGAGAATCAGGATAAAGTGCACTTGGGCAGTTTTTGTTCTATCTTTGCAACTTCTCTATAGATCTAAAACTATTCTAATAAAGAGATTATTTTTGAAGTTTTTCTTTAGAGACTGGCTGGTGTGCTCAGTGGTTTCGTGTCTATCTGTAAACCTGGAGATCACAGTTCAATTCCATCGGGGCATATGCTCGAGTTGTGGGCTCAATTCCCACTGGGGGTCGTGTAAGAGGCAGCGGATCAATAAGTCTCTCTCATCATCGATGTTTCTTTCTCTCTCCCTTTCCCTTCCTCTCTGAAACATTTTATATATATCTTTTTTTTTTTTTTTTAAGTTTTCCTTTAGATCTATATGGAGATTTCAATTTGGAAAACTGTCCCTCCATTTCTGTTAACATGCGGTTTTTATGTTATTTTATGAGTTTACTTGAGCCAAACTGAAAACTTATGCTGGGGAGCAAGATCTCAAATACTCCAACATCAGCTTTTTAAATTGTTAGATTGGATAACTGAACTAGATGTTTTCATATGCCAATAACTGAAATTATCAGCAAGTTCGTATGGTTTATTCTAGGACAGTATTGGCCTAGTTATTGGACTGCATTATCAAGTTGAGAATAAGGGTAATTTTCATTTTTAGAAATAAAGAAAAGTCAGTTGCAATCCATTATACACACACATACACACATACACACACACACACACACACACACATCTCCTCTCTGGCAAAGTCTCCCCATGGTTACTGTACTACATGATCTATGATTTTAATTTGAGGCTAGTAAAGAAAGGTATTACACAATATTTATTATTTAAAAAGGAGCAAAGAGCCTGAGATAGTTGAAAGCCACAGAGTATCTGTAACCCTTCCTTAATGACAATCTTCTTTCTTTTTCCAGAGGGTGGTATTCAGTGAACACTTTCATCAGTGAATCCACCTTCCAGTAAAAATAGGCTGAGAAACAGAACCCAATCAGAAAAATGTTGTATTTTTGCAGGAGGCCTGTGAAATTCTTGAACATGTTCAGCGTCTGAAAAAACATGTTAAAGGGAGAAACCCGACTTGCAGTGAGAAAAAAAAAACATCTGAAAAGGCATTTGGCACTCACCTGGGCACAAATCTGATGCATGACATGACCGAATTCATGGAAGTAAGTCCTCACCTCATCGTGCCTCAGGAGAGAGGGACGACCTGCGAGGGGCTGTGAGAAGTTCACCACGAGGGCTGCCACGGACATCATGCGGCTCCCGTCAGGGAGGAGGCAGCCCGGCTGGAGACCGAAGCAGGCTGCGTGGTTGTACTTCCCTTCCCTGGGAACCAGAAGCGCCATCTATGAGATATGAACACCCTTCTCTAACAGCATCGCCCTGGCCTCGCTCAGTCATTAAGTCCTATTTGATACATATTTGGTAGAAGATGCTTCATAACATTCAATTCACCTCTTAGAAAGTAATCAACATTGTATTAAAATGGAAAGACTAAAACTAAACATACAAAAATCCCAACTACCATGTCATGTGAGTTATTACTCCAAGGTTTCTTTTATTGAAAAATCTTAGTATCAGAACTAAGAATATGTACCACACCTCATGTATGGCTGCATGTCCAACTTATTTTATTTGTTTGCTTATTTTGTGGAATTCATTGGGGTGTCATTGGTCAATAAAATTTATATAGGCTTCAGGTGAACAATTCTGTAACACATCATCTGTCTACTGTATTGTGTGTTCACCACCCCATTCATTACATGTCCAACTTATTTTAATGAGGTCCTGCTTTTCATCCTCAAAGATGGAGTTACAATTTATTAACCAATGTCACCCCAATAAATAAATAAAAAATGGAGTCATTAAACACTAAATAGTGTTGAAGAAATCTAAGATACAAGGTACAGTTTGGTTCACGAGGTAGTTTTCCTTTAAAATTAGAATTGATAAAAACCAAATTCCATACAGTGAGGTTGTTCTTTTATTCAAGGAGGGGAGAATCAGTGTTCACAATTAAATGAGCTTTCTTGATAAACTTCACAAGTCTTTTTGAAATAGAATGCTTTTAGTTAGCCTGGGGAAAAACATGAATTATACTATAAAGGTGACTATTCTCAGACAATGAGGTATCAGTAAGGGTCTCTCCAAAAGCTAATGGCCATTAGACTTTATTCTAGGACTAGGTTTCCTCCTTTTTTGTTTTTGGTAGGTGGCTAACACGACTTTCAGGTTTGGCTGAAATTTTTAATTTTACTACTATGTATTTTTCTGTATTGCCTTTCTAGGTGACTCATTCCTCTCGGGATTTTTCTTGCTGATGCTATTGAAGTTTTTAAAAACACACATTTATCTTTTTCCAGCTACTTGTTATAACGTATGAAGGGTATTTATTGCTGGAAAGGGCATTTATTGCTCATATCCTTACAACAATAACATGCTAGACAATCTGCAAATCACAACTTTCCTTGAATCCTTCAGAAAGCAGAGGTTGAATGGCAATCAACTAGCATACAATCTAAGACAAGATGCCCCCGAGGAAAGAGAGGACGGAAACTTCAAGCAACTAAAAGCAAACAAACGTGGATTAGTATCCCCATTTTATAGGGCCTGTAATATTGGTTATGAAACTGAGGCACAGAAACATTAAGAACCTTCCCATCAAGGAATGGAGCCAGACATTCTGGCTTCAGAGCCCACATCTTTAATCCCTTTACTAAAACCACACAAGAGATCTTTGGAAGACAAGAGGGATAATCTGGATACGAGTTGAATTCCTAAGTCCCTTCCAACAATATGGTACCTGGGATAGAGGTCCAAGTAGAACTGTCCCAATACTTCTCCCGTGGCTTTATCCTTCACAGTGTAGAGCGTAACATTTTTATTCCACACGTGAGCGCCTGACACTTGCTCGAACGAGAGTCCCAACAACTCCTGGTATATGTTCAGCAAGCCTTCGGTGACCACCTCAATGGGGAAGTATTCCTTGAGGACCTCCTGGTCTATGGAGTACTTGAGTTCTTCTGTCTGAGTCATGTAGTAATGCAGATCCCAGGCATTGATTTTCCCATCATATTCGAAACCTCTCTCCTCACATTCCTTTTTCTTCAAATTCAAAATAAACTCTCGTTCTGCCTCACCCAAGGGTTTTAATTTCTGGCTTAAGTCATCTGTGAGGGAAGGGGGGGAGGGGAGGAAGTCAATGATCTATTGTTCTTAGGAGCAAGCATGTTCACACATACCTGTGCATCAGCATGGTGCATTCTATAGAGGAAGAGTGGGAAGAAGGGAAGGGAAAGAAAGCAGCCTCTATTATGATAGCACTGTCTCCTCACTCCTTTTTCTTTTAGCACCACCCAAACCAGGCCATGACTTCCTCACAGCATCACCAAAACTGAAGTTTACCTCAGGGAACTCTGACTAAAAAATGTTCTAATTCAGGGGAAAAGGGAATAGTGTAACTAAACTCATATATATGATTATTCTTCAAAAAGATTAGGCTTCTCAGAAAGGCAGGGAAATTAAATCAGATATGACCTGTGACTAGTATTACTAAAAATTGCTCAATGTCTTTGATGGCCATGGGTTTAGTATGTTTCACTACCCAATTCTATGAAGAAAGACTATTTGGACACAGTAATTCCACTTTTTAGATGGATACCACAATTTATATACTGTGATCTATTTTGGACTGTTTTACTGTATTTGGCTCAATGAATATGCTCTTATTATGTATGAATTCCTCACAATCTGTTACATATATAAAATAAACATTTGTTTGGCTCTGTAGGGGACATGGAAATTGTGAGGAGAAGGCAAGAACCCGAGGAATGAGGGGAAGAGAAAGGAGGAAACTCCTAGACCAGTGGTCGGCAAACTCATTAGTCAACAGAGCCAAATATCAACAGTACAATGATTGAAATTTCTTTTGAGAGCCAAAATTTTTTAACTTAAACTATATAGGGTAGGTACACTGTTATTGACTTAATTAGGGTACTCCTAAGCTGGCCTTTCCTAAAACCTCAAGGGGCCCAAGAGCCGCACGTGACTTGTGAGCCACAGTTTGCTGACTGCGTCCTAGACGATACGAGAGATAATTCAGAGTGGGCTGCCAGAGAATATGAAAGTACTGGTAGCAAGAGGACAACCCAGATGGGCATATGCCAATTTTAAATGAGAGGGAAATGACTTTACATAAATTAAGTTAATCAGGAATTTTTTAAATATATGCAGTTACAACTACAGAAAACGTTTTCATCAAAATTGTTAACTCCTTGAGCCATTTTCTATATAATATGCATCAGAATATATGGAAATTACCTGTTCACATCTCCATATTTTCCATTCAGGGAAAATTCACTGAGAAAAGAACCTCATTTTATTCCTTTTTATGGTTTACCATTTAGAATACTGACTAATGCAGAACAGTGATTTCCTAAATGTCCCATGAGTGAATAAATCAATTATATAGTACTAACAAATAACTACCATTTATGGTGCATCTGCTACATGTCATATCTGATGCCAGCATATACATTAATAATGCTAGGTATGGACATTTAAGACATAGAGAAGTAAATCTTGGGCTGAAGGTTGATTTTTAAGACATTATTAGTAATCTCTAATTCAGCCTACATACTTTGACTAGTTGTTAAAGGTGAATAAAGTTTGAAAGGAGTCAATGAGGAAAGTTAAAAAGGCATAAGCACCAATTTTTATAGTTAGAAAAGATTATAATAAAAATCGGTGTTTATACCTTGGTTGTTATTCAACCACCTTTACTAAGATGAGAGAGAGAAACAGAGTGACTCTTGGAGTAGTGACACCTTGGTTGAGATAGAGATGGGGAGAGTGATAGAGTACCAGTGATTCAATATCATGCACATAAGAATCATGGTTTTAAAAAGATTAGTGAAAATTGTGTTAAATACATGTGAATATAGTTATTAGATAATAGTTTTGATGCATATTTATATTGCTTTTGTATATAGTGAGTGGCTCCTAGAATATAAAATGTTTTTTGTTTGTTTATAATGTTCTATTTTCATTTATGTCACATTTGTCAGCTTATTTCATATGAATTCATATGTAGCTATACTATAACTACCATCACCAAATGCAGTGAACAAAGCCAATAAGCTAATACTTGCTCTTAGGACCCTAGATGTTTTGTTAGACATTAGACATAAAAATCCCAGTCAAGACACAATACAGAATGAAGCAAGGACTATCATAGTAATATAGACTATGGAGCGACCCTTAGGACCAAGCACAGTATCTAATATATAGTAGGTGATCAACAAGTTTCTCTTGAATGAATAAAGAATAGCATGTCCCCAAAAGCACATGAGAGACTAAGAGCCGTCTGTCAAGTGGGCATCATGCAGCAAAACAGTCACAGAAATGGAAAGACAGAGCTCGTAAGTAAATTAAAAAGACCTAACCTAGGAAGGCTGTCACACGGCTTGTGCTCTTCGCAGTGTTCATTTCAAGGACAAAGTCAGCATGTGTGCTGTAGCCGAGGAGCTTGGCGACTCTGGCCCGCAGTGGGAGTAGCTGCTGTAGAATTTCCGTGTTTTCCTAGTAATAAACAATAACAACAGAAAACAAACATTAGTAATTGGATAAAGATAATCAATTGGATCCAAAGCACTGAAAGAGTTATTACATTTATTATCAGGTTGGTAAAACTGTCAAATATTTTTAGACCATCTCAACTTCTAATAAATTATTTCATTTCAGCCCTAGCCAGTTTGGCTCAGTGGATAGAGTGTTGGCCTGCAAACTGAAAGATGAAGCTTATGCAATTGCCAGAAAATTAGGTTCAAAAGATGTTGTGATAAAGGCACAGGTTTTAGCTGGTGGTGGAGGAAAAGGAACACTTGAAAGTGGTCTCGAAGGAGGAGTGAAGATAGTTTTCTGTCCAGAAGAAGCAAAAGCTGTTTCCTCACAAATGATTGGAGAAAAGTTGTTTACCAAGCAAAACAGGAGAAAAGGGCAGAATTTGCAATCAAGTGTTGCTTTGTGAGCGAAGATATCCCAGGAGAGAATACTACTCTGAAATAACAATGGAAAGGTCATTTCAAGGTCCTATATTAACAGAAGTTCTCGAGGTGGTGTCAGCACTGAAGATGTTGCTGCAGAGACTCCTGAAGCCATAGTTAAAGAACCTCCTGACATTGTAGAAGGCATCAGAAAGGAACAAGCTGTCCGGCTTGCACAGAAGATGAGTTTTCCACCTAATGTTGTGGATTCTGCAGCAGAAAACATGGTCAGCTTTACAAACTTTATATGAAATATGATGCAGCCATGGTAGAAATAAATCCTATGGCAGAGGATTCAGATGGAGCTGTGCTGTGTACGGATGCGAAGACCAATGTTGATTCTAATTCAGCTTATGGCCAGAAGAAAATCTTTGATCTCCAGGACTAGACTCAGGAAGATGAAAGGGACACAGATGCAGCTAAGGCAGATACTGGCCTTGATGGGAATATGGGCTGTCTAGTAAACGGTGCTGGTTTGGCTGTGGCCACAATGGGTATAATAAAACTTCATGGAGGGACTCCAGCCAACTTTCTTGATGTTGGTGGTGGTGCCGCAGTCCATCAAGTACCAGAAGCATTTAAGCTTATCACTCCAGATAAAAAGGTACTGGCTATTCTGGTCAACGTTTCTGGAGGAATCATGAGGTGTGATGTTATTGCACAGGCTACAGTCATGGCAAAAGAATTTGGAAATTAAAATACCCATTGTGGTACGGCTCTGACTGGGAATTGAACCGTGACCTCCATTTACAAGTAGATGATGCTGAGGCACTGATTACTGACAGTGGACTTAAAGTTCTTGCTTGTGACGACTTGGATGAAGCTGCTTAAATGGTTGTAACGCTCTCTGAAACAGTGAACTTAGCCACACAAGCCCAGGTGCATGTGAAATTTCAGTTGCTGATCTGATCTGAGAATCCAGTGGCTGGCAGAAGGTTTTAACTGTGCTATGATCATTATTGTTCCTTTTCTCATTCATGTGCGAATATTATAATTGCCATCTAGGCATAAAAACTTTTAAAGCATTTGGTCTGCATTTAATTGTACTGAGAACAGGCTGTTTGTATAAAGAATGTGTAATGCAGTTATCAAGTTTCTTTGTTGCAGCCTCCTTTTTCACGTCTACAGAATGCCATTTGCAATATGCCAGTTTATTTTTGTTGGATACAGCATTCTTCATTAATATGAGTCCTCTGAATAAAATAAATCTGAAGATAGAGCTCTATTCTTTAGCGTTAGAAATATATCTAATAACTAGCCTTATTAGGAGAGCAATGTATTAAAACAATGTTTTATATAATAAGTATTTATCTTCAACACCAAATACCTAACTAAATATATGAACCACTATTTACAAACGGAGCTTTCAAACACTCCTCAGAATATTCTTTTAAATATTTCAGTGAAGTAACTTAATTATTTGAACATTATCTTACTTGTTAAAAAACACTGATAACTGTAAGTCTTTATGATCCTGTGGTATTGAGAAGAACCTGTATTTTTCACCAAATAAAGGCATATATACTAAAACAAAACAAAACAAAACAAAACAAATAAGGAAAGAAGAAAGAAGACCCAAAATAAGTTCAATGGGCTATCCTAGGAACTTCCTAGACTCAGAGTCCTTATAATTCTTGCCAAACTGTTTGTTGGAATGCCTGCTATGTATCCCATCCTCTCCTTTTCCAAGTGGGAGGTGTTTTTTTTTTTTTTTTTTTTTTTTTTTTTTTTTACTTAGGTGTTTTTTTAATTTTACTAATTTTTAGGTCCTTTCCTTTTTTTTAAAAAAAAAAAATATATATTTTTTTGTTGATTTCAGAGAGGAAGGGAGAGGGAGTGAGAGATAGAAATATCTATGATGAGAAAGAATTATTGATTGGCTGCCTCCTGCACACCACACACTGGGGATTATGCCTGCAAACCAGGCAGGTGCTCTGACTGGGAATTGAATAGTGACCTCCTGGTTCATAGGTTGACGCTCAACCACTGAGTCACAATGGCTGGGCTCTAGGTCTTTCTCTTAAAGATACTTTCACTGTACTTTATTTTCCTTCTTCCCAACAGATTGGGAAGATGACAACTGAAATGCCCTTGGAAGTCATTTTTTGAGAGGAAAGATAGAGAGAGATGCCTCACCAGTCCTGGACTATCAACTTAGGAGAAGAATAAAACTTTTAGTTTATTTAGTCCATTCTATTTTTATTAGAATAGTTTAACCTGTGGCCAAAGGAGGTTGTCAATAGGCAAGGAAAAACCTAAAATTCTAGGTCTGCGGAATTAGAAAACATAATGCTCACACAAATAGGAATATTAGTCTCAGAGCTGACTTCAACATTGGTTAACAAAGCAAACCGTTTTCTTCTTCTTCTTCTTCTTCTTCTTTTTTTTAAATATATTTTATTGATTTTTACAGAGAGGAAGGGAGAGAGATAGAGAGAAACATTGATGAGAGAGAGTCATCGATCAGCTGCCTCTTGCACACCCCTACTGGGGATATGCCTGCAACCAAGGTACATGCCCTTGACTGCAATCGAACCCGGGACCTTTCAGTCCCCAAGCTGACACCCTATCCATTGAGCCAAACCGGTTTCGGCAGCAAACCGTTTTCTTAAAGTCCTCCAGAACAACACGTAAACAAACAAAGACAAACGTTTATAAGTACCTCTTTGCACCTTGTGTTAAAAGCCATTTCCATCTTCCTTCTGGTTTCTGGGATACAACATTTCTTCATGACAGGAAAATAGTGTGGATATTTTAAGGTAATTTTGTACTTGTCATCATCTGTCTTTTCTAAACTATCAATGAAATCATCAGGAAGAGCACCTGCAAAAAATTCTCTCATACATCAAGTTTTCCACTCATTATGGATTAATTTAGCACTGGCATGGTGCCATTAAGAATCGAGGAATTTTGCGGAGTAATTAAAATTCAAGTAAAATAATGACAATTTTCAAATCTCATGAGGGTGGCGGTCAGAGAACAGGTGTCTTGGGAGATGCTAATCCAAAATATGAACAGGCTTCAGTGCTGGTTTGACAGAGAACAGGAAAATTAAACCAAGAAAGATCCAGAATAGAATAAGAGTCTAGTTTAAGTTGCAATATATGGGACATTGGGGGCAAACAAATTTTTCAAGGCACTGAAGTCTGTTAACCAAGAAAGATTATGAAATCTTCTCAGGACTGTCTCCAGAAACAGCATACACTCTCATTAGTCTATAACCTAAAAATGGCTTGGTGGTCTTTTCTGTAGAAGTGATGCTGGGTTCTATAGAAGAGAGTGGATCACTTTTTAAAGAATTCTTTTAACTCTGACCTGCCACACTGTAAGGTGACATTATCTGCCTAAATTACATGATTTCATCTAGAAAAATAACATAATTTTACCAAGTTCAGCCTTGGAAAATACAAGGAAGGTATCATCCTCATTGAGGTTTTTGTTGAAGTCAATGCACAGCTCACTCATTCTTTTCTTCATTGCTTTGATTTCCTGAACCAAAGATACAAATACAGGACATTAACAATTTCAATCTTCTGAAAATGCTAGGTAATGAAGTTTCTGTATACCACAGTGGCTCTCCATGCATGGCCCTGACCAAAAGCATCAACCTCACCTGGAAATTGGTTAGAAATGCAAATTTTTGAGACCCACACCAAATCTACTGAAACACAACTCTCAGAGGTGGTTTCCTGCATTCAGAGTTTTAACAAGCCCTCCAGGTAATTTTGATGAATGCTAAATTTGACACAGTCATTTTTGGACATTCTTGCTGTCTCCCTGATTCCTTCCACTTCCTCCATATGTAACAGCAGGATGGAGTTGGAGTGGGATCTGATTTCATCTGAAGTTCCAGGGGTGTGATCTCAGCACTGGTTATGTAATCCTGTCCGTACTGCACTAGTGATTGGTTCAGGTAACCCATGCCTGGGATTCACTCAACTAATGGGGGACTCAGGATCAGGCAGGTGATCCAGTCTGGGCCATTAAGACATGAGGGGAGGTTTGATAGAGGCCTCTCTGTGTCCTTCTAGATAGAGGCCTCTCTGTGTCCTTCTAGAGGGATGTATAGATTTGTTTGATAGAGGCCTCTCTGTGTCCTTCTAGAGGGATGTATAGATTTGTAGTCATCCTATATAAACCTATATAATAAAAGCATAATATGCAAATCAACTGAATGGTGGAACAATGGGTCAGTGGGGGACAGGGCTAGAAAACAGATGGTGCCAGGCTAGCCAAGGCATGTGCCAGCGGTCAGAAGGAGAAGACTGATGGGTGCAGGGGTGAGGGGGCTGGTAACGACCAGCAGCGGGGTGATAGGGCAGCGCCATTCCCAAATTGCCTGCCTGGTGGCCTCCCACAGAGGGAGGCCATAGGTGGCAGCAGCGCAACTGGGGGGGGGGGGGAGCTGCTCACCACCTGTGCCTGTCCTCTGATTGGCCCACCCGGTCACCTTCCACAGAGGGAGGTCAGACTGCATCTTCAGTTGGACATCCCTGTGGGCTCCCGGACTGCAAGAGGGTACAGGCTGGGCTGAGGGGACCCCCCCCTCCCCAGTGTATGAATTTTCAGCACCAGGCCTCTAGTTTTAGAAATAAAAGGAGCTACCTTTGGATAGCACTAACTGTGAAGACGGAGTAGAGGAATAGAAAAATCAGGTGGCCAGTGACACCACTGAGCATCTGGATCAGACAAACCCATGAAGCCCAACTACCTCTGGACCTTCCAGCTATACAAGCAAGTAAATCTCTTCTATTATTTAAATTGTTCCAACAGGGTTTTGTTAGCCGCAACCAAACACATTTTAACTAACACAGTGTTCATGCCCCAAACAGAACTGATGATTGACCAGGGCAAGTCAGACAAGTGAGATCAGTCCCATTTTTCCTGTAATTAGGATGAAGAGGTTTCAAGGTGTTCAAAGGGCATTCAGGTGCCAGAAAGGTGCCTGTATCTCAGGTCTATCTACCATGCTGACATCACATGGTCTACATTCCTTTCAAACTAGTTTCTAGTTCTACTGCCTAGAACAGTGGTCGGCAAACTGCGGCTTGCGAACCACAAGCGGCTCTTTGGCCCCTTGAGTGTGGCTCTTCCACAAAATATCATGGCCTGGGCGAGTCTATTTTGAAGAAGTGGCGTTAGAAGAAGTTTAAGTTTAAAAAATTTGGCTCTCAAAAGAAATTTCAATCGTTGTACTGTTGATATTTGGCTCTGTTGACTGATGAGTTTACAGACCACTGGCCTAGAAGAATCACCTGGAAATAAATCATTTTTTCTTTTCCAAAGTACGAATTAATTCTACAGCTGAGATTATTTTTGAAATTCGAAGATTTGATAGGCATTAGACAAAAGAAAAAGTTTGAGAAGCATTTTTCAGCAGCTGATCTGTCCACCTTTAAGGGGCATATAGTAATCGCAGGCAATTCCATTTCAAAGTGCTGGTTTTAAAATTCCCCATCATAAGGATTTTATTACCAGTGCCCTATCTGTGTAAGACCAAAGGAATAAAAACACAAGTCAACTATTAAGGCCTGGAACGAGGTATAAAAGAATGTAAGGTAGAGCAGAGGAAATAGGCCCAGCACGCATGAAATAAATAACGAGGTATTAAAGAATGTAAGGTAGAGCAGATGAAATAGGCCCAGCACACATGAAATAAATAAAACAGCTGATAACTTAATTTTTACAGAAAAATTAAGTTATCAGCTGTTTTGTCAGTCACCATGAGGTGGATAGGAGTTGTGGGATTTAAAACTACTGACCATCCAATACATTGTAAATGGATCTCTATTATGCATTATTTCCCCACATTAAAAACATGTGTTTCCTTATTTACTGTTTTGTTGTTGTTGTTGCATTTTGTTTTATTTACTCTCTTTTTTTCCCCCACAAAGAAAAGGAAATATGAACTCACGTTTTGGACTTGTTCTGGAAGATGGAGCCCATTTCTTTTCCCCATTTTAACTGACTTTTCCAAGTACCGCCTGGCTTCAGGCTTTATCTTCCCCAGATCACAGGTTTCCTGAAATGAAAGATTGTGACAACCATTCTGTTACAGCAGTGTCAGTAAATTACAAACTAGAGGCCAAAGCAAATTTATCCATCATCTCTGCTGAGCTGTGTAGCACAAAGGTGATTATGAGGCAGGCTCTTTTGAAGACCTAATTTCTTTTATGCTTTCGAGAGCCTCTGCTTATCTAAAACAGAAACATTAAGAAAACAAAAAGCTAACCAGAATTACCCTGCCTTGCATCAGAAACAAGAGTGCCTGTACTGTACCACTTGAGAGTGTGATCAGAGATGCATTTTCATTATCACATTCTCTATGACCCAGTGGTCTTTCTCACAAAATGCATTTCTTATCACAAATCATCTGGATTTAATTTTCCATCATTTGCTAACCTGGTTCCACTTGAGGGACAGGCATAAAAAGAAAGGGCATATGATACACAGTGGAGAGTGGGGCTCTTTGGCCAACATACCAAAAAAGGACAGCCCGATAAAGGCTCTTGCACTTTAAAATGACTTCTTGTCATTTAGCAAGAGAGGTCAGGGGGCTGCAGCAAGCTGCACATGGACGGCATGTGGGGAAAATGCATCCGCACAGCACACAGGAGGAGCACGGGACAGTGCATTTCAACCTGCCAGCAGCAACACGAACAGCACTCACTCAAAGGAATGAGGGCCCTGAAGGATGAGCCAGAGCAAGGTATAAAAACACCGATATTTACTCAAAACAGGTGGCAAAAACATACATGGCAGGTCTGGAAGGCTGGTCAGTTTGTGGTCCCTGGGAGGAAATGGACTCCAGAGAGAGGAGTAACAGGTTCAGTCTGGTTGAGAGGCAATGAGGGACTTTGTCTCTAGAGCCTGAGAGACCTCTCAGCATCAGCACCCTGCCATTGGTTTCATTCTCTCCATGAAAGATTTGGACTGTCCATCCATGAGCTTTGTATTTTCCCAACTAAAGAGATCTTTAAAAGGCCCACTTAGATCTGCGCTCTAGAGCCTGCATTTTATATTGTCGCAAGGCTTTTGCTGCAATAATTCCGTAATTTTTTACATTTTGTTGTAGAAGGTAAGTAGAGTTGTACTCTGAGGGTGCTACTTAATAAAACAATCTGTATCTCGCCTTGCCTGTCTGGGAAATGAGATTTTGAAAATCCCTAATGAGAATTTAGAAGTTGGGATGAAAAGAGAGTTAAGGAAAATTAGAAATTCTGAGGAAAGTTTAAAAAAAAAAACACAAAAACAAACCATGTATAATACACAGGTAGAATGGAAATTTGATTATTGGGAATGAAATAAAAATAATCTATAAAGAACATGATTTGAATCATATAGAATAATAGAGTTAAAAAGAAAAAGGGGAACAACTTAATAAAGAATAATCATAAAGTTCTTTTAATTAATGTTATTTTTATAGTGCCAAATATGAATAATTCTGAACCACAGAGATTATAGATAACAAGCTGAAAAATGCTCATCTGATCTGAGGGAATAAACAGCATATATTCTTATATGTCTAAATAAAGTCATGACTACGTACTCTGTAGTGAGTTACAAAAAAACTATTTGAATAATACTGCTGTTTTTATTTCAACTCTGTTAACTTAGTAAAAGGAACAAAAAAATTTTGAGATTTTTCAAAAAGAAACATGTAAAATTAAACAAAAATGCCTAAAATTATTTAAAGCATTGATTGTTTTTCCAAACTGCTGAGGTGTCATGAAAATAAAAATTCAAAGCAAAGAGAGGATAAGAATACTAGAGAGCAAATCAGCACTGGTTATGAAAAGACCAAAACACTCATAGCCGACTCACCTCTGACATTTATTACACATACTCGTAATTTCCCTGAGTCCTGGAAAAGGTGAGGATGATAGACAGGAATGACTGTGGCATGCAGCATCAACATGTGTCGGTATGATGGCCAAAAGCACATGATATTTACAGATAAACAGCTCAGTCCATTTGCTTCTAGTTGATCTGATCTAATAAAGTCTTATAATTCTTTGAAAATTCAAAAAGGTTTCTACATTGAACCATCAAGGTCATGATGGCTAAGAAGCCTTAGATTTGTAGATGTACACCCTTTTAATGTGTCATACTTTTTAAATAATATATTTTTATTAATTTCAGAGGAAGGAAGAGGGAGAGGGACAGATACATCAATGATGAGAGTCACTGATTGGCTGCTATAACATAACATTATATAACACTGTGCTCTGCCCATTATTATAGCAATTGGAAACAAAACCTAGAAGCATTCAAGTACTTCTTATTGCTGGTCAAAGGTTTTTACTTTTTTATTGTAGTTTTTTTTTTTCTTCTTTTAAAGAGATTCATAACATCATTTACCTGTAAATGAACAATTCTCAAAAATATATCTTCTCTCATGCTCATTTCGATATCAAAGCGAGAAAGTCTTTTGTCCGCTTCTGTGCTTGCAGCTCGTACTTCTTTGTCAGAGGAGACGTGCTGGGGAAAGTCTAGCATGGTTCGTTCCACTGTCAATAGAGGGGGAAACAGTATTAAGAAAAATACTTCCCGCCGAAACCGGTTTGGCTCAGCAGATAGAGCGTCGGCCTGTGGACCCAAAGGTCCCAGGTTCGATTCCGGTCAAGGGCATGTACCTTGGTTGCGGGCACATCCCCAGTAGGGAGTGTACAGGAGGCAGCTGATCAATGTTTCTCTCTCATTGATGTTTCTAACTCTCTATCCCTCTCTCTTTCTCTCTGTAAAAATTCAATAAAATATATAAGAAAAAAAGAAAAGAAAAATACCTCCTGTCTAGATGGATGATTATCCTGATAAAAGTTTTCATTTTATACTTTCTGTAAAAGTTCCTAAGGTTATAAAAAAAAAAACAAAAAAACAGCGTTTAATGCAGAGCCTGGCTGTCCCAGTGGCATTATAAGGAACAATAGGGTGTGCACTGAGCACTGATTAAAGTACTATTTAGGTGCAATTTACAGGAGGATTTTAACAGCCCTTGCTGGAGGCAGAATGAACAATGAGAACATACAGATAAGAGAAAGTTAGTCTTTAAAAGGCTATTCTTTGGATGATTAATCCACAAAGATAAATTTATGAGAGTGATGCAGTTGGTAGTTGAGGCAGAAGAGCAGAGGTCAGAGAGAGCAGCCAAGTCCCCAGTGTGGTGGGATAGAGTGGGGAACTCTTGGTGTTGAGGGGTTGGAGAAGGTAGAGCGATGACCAGGGCACTAGGGCTGTGGAGGGTTCTGGACAACCTTCCAAATTCCAAAAGACATACTAATGTTTACATTATTCATGTTCTTATAAAGCCTGGATACACAGCCAAGGTTGCTTAGTCATAATTATCCTACAAAACTTATCCAATCCATAGAGTTAACTCCTGTGAATCTTCATTTCCTATAACTCAGAGAGCCTAATACTCACATAATAAAAATAATGTATTTTAAGTATAGGGAAAATGGAAAATAGAGAAAAGCATGAAGAGAAAAGTAAAAAAGCCAATGGTCAGCCCACCATCTAAGATACTAACCATTATTAAAATTTGTGTTATTAAATTAAAATTTTCTTTTGGCTTTCCTTCTATGTCCTTTTCTCTAGGTCATTAAATACTGCTTCTAAACATTATTTTGTTATTATGTTTAAAATATTTTTATTGATTTTTAGAGAGAGAAAGAGAGGGGGAGGAACATCGACTGGTTGCTTCCTGTACGTACCCTGACCGGGGTTGGAACCTGCCACCTCGGTATGTGCCCTGACTAAACATCAAACTGGGGACCTTTCTGTGCACAGGACGATGCTCAATTGACACCCACCAGCCAGGGATATACATGATTTTATTTTAAAAAATTTATTGTATTGATTTCTTTACAGAGAAGGAGGTAGAGGAATAGAGAGTTAGAAACATCGTTGAGAGAGAAACATCGATCAGCTGCCTCCTGTACACTCCCTACTGCTGATGTGCCTGCAACCAAGGTACATGCCCTTGACCGGAATCGAACCTGGAACCCTTCAGTCTGCAGGCCGATGCTCAATCCACTAAGCCAAATCGGTTTCGGCTACACATGATTTTAATGGCTCCACAATATGAGGCTGAATGTACCACAATTTATTTAGTCATTCTATTAGTTGACACTTAGGAGTTGTTCCAAGCTTTTGTTTATGAGAATAACTGTCTATACAATACATAAATTTATAGATGATTTTTTCCTGTGTCTGGTTATTTCCTTAATTAAGTGCATAGATGTAGCATTACTTAAGCCAGGGTTTGAACTTCTTAAAATTATTCATAGATACTGTCAATGTTCTCCAAAAAGGAGCGGTAATGAGTGTACATTTTACAGCACCTTTGCTAACACAATAAAAGATTTTAATCTGAGGTAACTTAATTCCAAGCAATTAATTAATCATTAGGTAAAAATCAATAGCTTGTAAAATTGGAAAACGGATTGCTAAGACAGAAAACGTAAAATGGCATATGATGCCCACAAAACGAAATGTTGCTGTGCTTTTGCATCCTACTCACCTATGTACTTCACCTCTACATCAGCCAGTGCCTGCAAACAGTTCTCGTAAGTTACTTCCTCAAGGTCAAGCATTCCAATGGCATCGTACACCTGTTTGGTCTGCACAATGAGCTCCTCGGTCCTAGTTTTAATTTGTTCTGGTGAAAGATCCCATCTTAACACATTCCTGCCAGCGGCGGTACTGGCAGACATTGCCTGAAGAGGAGACATCACTTCTCTCCCTAAAGTCATTCTGAATAAAATCCTGCAACCACCAGTTCTAAAGAGAAATAGAGAATAAAAATGAGGCGTTTCTGTTGATCTAAAGTCAATAGACAAGTGGGTATTATCTAATTAAATTTAAATCAAAAGTAACTTTGTAATAAAATCGCGCAATTTCTTGCCGCTGAACACATATGCACAACGCTCCTGTGAAAGTGTCAACTCAGGAATTGGACGCCTGGGGGCTTATGGGATCTCCTGACAGGACCTGCCCACTTTCTCTGGGCAACAGAGCTGGTGCTATTCGAGGTGACAGGCAGCAGGCAGGATGCCTGCCTTCAGATGTGTTTGGGTGAGTTGCTGAGCAAGCCAAGGAGAGGGTGGGCTCTTGGTTAAACTGAAGGCTTCATTTGGGAACCAAAAATCTTAAATCTCTTGGACCCTGAACCACATATTTTCTCTGGAAAATATGTACCCCCTCCCCCCCAGCAAAATGTTGTTGAAGGTTATGTTATTGAGGAATAAACTGATATGGATATGTGGAACTTATTTAATGGCACACTGCACTAGAAATATGAAGGGGATTTAACACCAACTCTTATTAGAGCTTTTTAAAAACTGGGAAATGATCAAAATGCACATGAATCAAGTATTAATATACTGTACAATGGTGAATAGGCTGTCCATTGTGCCATTTCTTTCTCTGAACTCTTAGGCATGCTTTGGCAATGCAAGAGCTCTGTAACATAAACAAATTCAATAAAAAGTATATGTATAAAAAAAAACCTCAATGCTCTTACATTTTTTTCTTGAATATAGATTTAATGAAATTTGTATTTTCCAAGCAATTGTTTATGTAATTAAATCATAGAAAAATAAAGTTATATGTCAAAGACATAATAATTGTCCTTTATAAATTAAACCAGTAATTTTTCTTATTTAAATGTTTTTCTTGGCCACCTACTAGTATGAAGACTCAAAAATGTTTGAGATTCAGTATTCAAATTCAGGTTGAACACCAGTTAAAAAAATCTTAGCCAAAATATCAAGAATGGAAATTTGAGTTTAAAACTTGGAAAATAAATTCTGGTATAGCTATGAAATTATTCTAAAAGAAAAAATTAAGAACAGCCATGTGTGCTTCTATCCACAAATGCATGCGTTTCTGTGTATAGATAATTTGAGTTTATAAGTAAAAATGTTATAATGAATAGCTAACATTTATTGTGTTTAGGCACTGTACCAAGTGCTTTTCATTTATTAACTCAGTTCTCACAAAAACCCCGTGAGGCAGTACTGGCAGACATTGGTGCTTCTTGTATTACCAAAGAGGAAACTGAAACACAGAGAAGTTAAGTAACTTTGCTCAAGTTCACTATAGTGGGAGCTAGGATTAAAGCTAGATGTATCTTATAACAGAAACCCACACTTGAAACCTCTATGTTCATGTTGACCAATGTCACAGCAATAAATTTTTTAAAAAAAGAAAAAAACAGGTAGTATAGACCCAGTTTCCACATTCTTAACTGCTATGTTAAACATCATCCCTATTATTTTACAACATCTTAAAACAATCTTATTATGTAGTTCAGGCAGTATTCCCTTTTAATATATGATGCAATTGAGGCTCAGAGAAGCTAAGTGACTTGCTCAAGGCCATTCACTCACAAGTATTTATGAGCCTATATTGTGTCTGGTCACTGTTTTAGGTGCTGAGAATAAAATGGCAAATTGACTGGGACCATGCTGTTATAATACAGAGAAGAAGACAAGTTGATCAACAGACAATTATACTATACTAGAGGCCTGGTGCACGAATTTGTGCACCAGTGGAGTCCCTCAGCCCTGCCTGCAGGATTGGGCCAAAACCAGTTCTCTGACATCCCCCGAAAGTCCCGGGGAGGGACATGGTAGGTTGGCCAGTTGGGGAGGGACCTCAGGAGGTCTTCAGATGGGTATGTCCGGCCCATCTCGCTCAGTTCTGATCAGCTGGACCACAGTAGCAAGCTAACCTACCAGTTGGAGCGTCTGACCTCTGAAGGTCGTGCACATCATAGTGAGCAGTTGAGTGGCCTTAGCATATTATTAATATATTACGCTTTGACTGGTTGAATGGAAGACCAGACACTTAGCATATCAGCCTTTTATTATATAGGACTGAGATGAGTGTTATGATAGGGTCAGCAGAAGGAACTCTGAAAGGCCACAAAAGGAACTTTTCTAGGAATATTGTCTAGAAGGAGAAATGTGCAAGCCAAGACCTAGACAATATGCTGTCCAAAGGCCAAAGGCTATAAGAAGAGAGAAGTCTGCAAAGGTTAAGTAGGAAGTAGTGAATGCAAAGCCTTGGAAATCATTAAAAAGTTCAACCTTTCCCAGGCCAGTGTTGCTCAATGGTTGAACATCAACCCATGAACCAAGGAGTCATGGTTTGATTCCTGGTCAGAGCACATGCATCAGTTGCAGGAACAAGCCCCAGTATGGGGCATGCAGGGGGCAGCTGATCCAATGATTCTTTCTCATCATTGATATTTCTGTGCCTATCTCCCTCTCCATTCCCCTCTCTGGAAAAAAAAAAAAAGTTCAATCTTATTTTGAAGGCAATGAGAGCCATTGAAGTCTTTTAATCAGGTGAGCGATGAAATAAAATATGCATTTCAGAGAAATCACTCAAATTACAGTGAGTTGAAAAGTTGGGAGAAGAGAAGTCATTCTAGAGGAAAGCTATTACTGTATTTGGGGCATACAATTTTGGCATGCTGAATTAGAAAATAAAGGGAATTGGAGTGATTTAAAAAAAAATCAATACGAGGTGATACTGAATGGATGTGTGGGGAGGTCAGAGAATCAGGGAGGATGTCCAGGTTTCTGTGTTGGAAATGGATGGTGCTGCCATCACTAAAACAAGGAATTGAGAAAGGGGAGGAGGTGGCTCTTTGGGGTAGGGGTGAGAAATTCAACTTTGCACGTGCCAAGTGGCTGTGACACATGTAAGTGGAATTTATTAATGTTAAATGGTAATTGAAACCAGAGGGGAATTTGCAGAGTGAGAACAGAACTGAGTTCTAACTCTGGTTTAATCACTGAGGTAGAAGGAAAGCCAAGCCAGCCCTGGTCTAGGAAGTTGTGAAAAGTAAGCATTAAAAAAGGAAAGGAACGAATGACAGTATAAAGTAAGATAGAAGAGTCTGTTGAACTTAACAATAGGAATGCCATTGATTACTTTGGCAAGAGCAGTGTCAGTAGGGTGATATGGGTGGAAGTCAGACTGCTAGGGTTAAGAGGTGTGAAGAAGGTGAAAACTGGAAAGAGCACACCTAAGCAATTCTCTGGCTATGAAAACAAACGGAGCTAACTCAGTGTGCAGCTGGAAGGGGCTAAGGCAATGAAAGATTAGAGAGATCTGAATACTGTCTGTTCACATCAGACAGTATGTGAAACACTGGCTAGAGGACCCACGGCTGGCAGACTATTTTCTAGTATATTTTCACATTCCTCCTTTAACCAGTTAAGTTATATATATTCACCAAAGGTCAAATTCCAAAACCTGTTTATGACTATTTGTTTTTATGCAATTTAAATATTTAACCAGTTAAATGTATGTAAACAGAATGATTTATTGTTTAGCTAAATTGTTTTTTGGAAATACTTTTTAATAAATAGTGACTAAAAAGCCAACCAAAAAAACCCCCAAAACAACAAAATACAAAAAACCCGGCTGTAATAGAAGTTTAAGTAAAGAATTGTGATTATTTAGAAGACTTCTGATTCAGATTATGTGCCTTTACGCGTGTTCTTGTTCCACTTAAAAAAAATTTTGGAAATTTAAAAATGGTACATTTTAGATGTAGTTAAGCAAGGACAGTGAGGAATTCCAAACAAGTGATTCATACTTGTTAAAAAGGCCTCCGTCTTACATCAAAATATTTAGAAATAAATATACATTTATGAATGGTTTGAATACATATTTTTATTAATTTCTTTATTGATTAAGGTATCACATATTTGTCCTTAAACCCCCATTCCAATTCCCCAGCCCCACCCTGAATATATATTTTAAGCAATTTATCATTTTTCATGATTCCACTTGAAACTAACTTTTTCAATTTATTCTTAAATGACATATAGAGAAAGGTCAAAGGAGATAGGAACAAATGGCATATAAACCATGGTCAGCAATTTGTTTTAGATAGAAGACTACAATCTCAGTAAGATCGATAAATTGGGTGAAATGGGAGTGGTTACATTATAATCAAAATGTGAGATGTCTGGGTTTAGGAATTGAAAGGCTAAACAGACTGACAAAATCCAGCCTATTTTCTTGGAAGTGGATGGTTGAGAAAAACAAGCTGAAGAATGCAAAGAGCTGACATCCTTGTATTGGCTAAATTGTCTACGATGCACACTGGAGTCCACAGCTTGACAGCCGGGCCTGGGAGGAGGAAGAAAGACTGAACCAGGGACAGAAATCTTCAAAGCATAGAAGGAGCTGACCAGGTGGTTGGCAGAGGACACTGTGGGCAGGGTATAGAATGGTAAAACCAGATGGGGAGCCTCGACAGTGGTTTTATACAAGGTGAAGGAGTGTTGGCCTGGGAGAGTAACTGGAGCAAGGTAGGATCTGGGGAACAAAAGACGTGGATTTTCCTCCTTCCTTTGTGCTATGAGATGTGGACGGGAAGTCGGGTGTAGGGCAAGTATTTTCCTCAGGGCTGAGGGGATCTCAGTAAAGGTTAAAAGGAGAAGAGACAATCCAGAATATGAGAAAGTGGAGGAGGATGTTTACTATGAGACCAGAACTCCAGAAGTAACAAGGGATACGTCTAGGAGCAGATAGCTCCATCGGTATTGGTCGTCTGACCATTCACCTCTCCCCTGTCCAATTATATACGCCTTTTCTTCGCATACCATGCATCTTCCACACAGTCCATGATCTTTAAAGGTGGCTGCCACTACCTCAGAGATCCTGGGAGAGGAAGGGGTCTTATTCCTACTGAGTATAAATGAGAAAGCTTGTGCCCCAAGCTTTGACTGCAGCCAGCATCCAGTTGATGAGAA